CAATGTGTTTTTAATACTCTATGTGAGTTTTATAACCATGCTATTGACAAGGAATGCTTATACACAACGTTCTTCAGGCGTTGGAATGTTCTGACGTTTGTCACTCCAAATGGTGTACTGTAGCTAACAGTCAGGGTGCGGGGTTGTCAATCCCGTATAGATCTATACACAAACACCATGCTCCCCCTCCAAGGGATTCTGGTATATAATACAGGACTTGAAATGTGTACTCGTGCGTACGTGAAGTTTAATGTCTCACAAAACTTAGTATAAAACAAATTTACGTGTGAAAATGTTCGTTTGTTATTGTATATGAAAGTAGCTTCTTGAAATAGTATTTCCATGTATGTAAAAGTTCGTAGTATTCTCGTAAAACAATACCTATTATAGTTTCCTGAAAGTTCGTTTCGTTTGTATAATAAACCCTTAGTGAAAATGCTCACTTGTTATGAAAAGTGTAGTTTTTGTAGTGCCAAAACCGACACACATAAATATAGTATAAGCAAAGTGTCTGATTTGTATAAATACATAAATCAATTTCTTATTTCAAAAGATAAAATGTTTTCGTGGTATAATTTACATATGAGAGTTTCCCTATAATAGTTATAAATCACATATGATTCCGTTGATAAAACACGTATAGTGAAACTTTATATAACACACAATAATAATCGAGTGTTTTACTTGTATCCCCCCCCCCCTTAAAAGCATGTAAAAGTACTCATAAAACATTTAAAAGTGTGAATTATAGGGGTATGAACTCACTTGAAAGATCGGAGAAGGCGGGATGAAAACCGGACATAATTTCGACTCGAGAAAGCGGATTTTCTCGGGATTCTCGGGAATCTTGGGAGCACAAATGACCCTCGGGACTTGAGCAATGTGATCGGGACTCTGGGATAGCACGGGCACGGAAAACGAGGCAAAAAACGCAAGAGAAATGAGAGAGAAAGACCCTTTTCTTCGGAACCCTCTCATCCCTTTTAAAGGGGGTGTGAATCGCCCTCGTACGCGGGGCGTACGAGCGTACGCTGGGCGTACCCGTGCGTCACGCATGAGCGCATCCTCGACTGCTTCAGACTCCGGATGGGACGGGGCATAACCTCGCATAGGGCGCGACGTGGATGATCCGAGGCCAAGGCCTCGAGTACGCTGGGCGTACTCGTGTATGCTGGGCGTACTTGCGTGACTCAGCCTTCGGATAATACCGAAGTTTTCATAATATAAATATATTTTTAATATTTAATAAACTTCAAAAATTCATATCTTCTTCATACGGACTCCGTTTTCGACGTTCTTTATATCCACGCGTAGGTGAGACTATACTCTACAACTTTCGTTTAGATTCTGTCGGCAAATTTTGAAATTATTTTTATTATTTATTATTAAAAGGTCGCAGTAAGAAAATTTCTTTAAAAATTCATAACTTCATTATCTGACGTCTGTTTTTGCCAGACTTTTTACCGTTGAAAAACCATTGTCGAGACCTTCGATTCTCATTTAGGTCATTCTGGTCAAAAGTTGTTCGATCTCTGTTTCGAGTTTTTAGTTGTTCGTTGCCAAGCCGAACTTGAAAAATTTATAACTTTCTTATACGAAGTCAGATCTGGACGTTCTTTTTACGTACAATCACGGTTTGTTGACATCTAACATAATAGATAATTTAATTAGTGATTTTTGGATATTTTATTTTCGAAGTTAATTTCATTATAACGAGCGTGGTTACAATACTTGACTTATTAGGTCGATTATATAGAGTTGAAATATTGGGTTGTCACAGAGATCGACAATAACAATTTTATATGAACAAAAGTCTATTGCTAATGCTTTTATTGAGTCAATTGAATAGGTTTTATGATGTTTTGAAGAAGAAAAAAACATCTGGATCATTTTTTTTGTTTTTATTTTTAAATAATGTAATGTTTTAATATGTATTTAACTTCTTTGGTTACAAATAAATAAAATATGTTGTTTTATGTTAAAAAACTTCATACTAATTAGATATTCATGTTTGCTATTTTAAAATTCAATATCCTTACACCGTGTTCAGATTGATCCATCCCATAGTTGAACGTACAACACACCATATCAACATTTTATGAAATAATGGAATTTGGTTAAGCATTGTCAAATACCCCAAATCGTAACTACAATCGCAATGAACATGTTGGTGATTTTATCACCAGATATATTTTAGTGTGGTGGATTTAACAAGTGTTTCAAGAATAATGTTTTAGTTATGATATAAGTTAGGAGGTGCGGGAGTGCACACTTGTATTTACTAAACATTGATAGTAATGAACCCTAATCAACTGTGTCAAGTCGCGGACAGGGTTCGGGGCAGCGCCTCGATTTTTTTTATAAAAAAACAGTACAATGTCTAATTTGTCATTCTTGAAAGATGAAAACTGTTTTGATTTATCTGTTGTTGGATAAATCAAGGATAACGGCTCCAGTTTGAAACACAGAAAAAACGTATAACACTCTCTCTTCATCTTCTCAAAACTGATTATGATTTTATGCCTAAAATCTGAATTGCTACATCAGGAATTATCCCAGTTTGGATTCCGTGATACCCAAGGCATATAGGATCGAAATATCAAACAAGGAAAATGTTTACACGATTCGTGTTTGTTATCTAGATTTCTCAGAACCTTAATTCGAATTTCCCCAACAGAACCTTCTCCCACACCCCATTAGAAAATAATCTTAATATTATTATTTTGTAAATTTATTATCCATTCGGTTAAATAGGATTTAAAGATATTAGAAGCAAAATAATAAAAAAAAACATTTATTTAGTTTCAACAAAGTTCTCGTAAAATTTATGTATTTCATAAACAATGGTAAGTTTTTTTTTTTTTTTTTTTTTTAATTACAAAAAGATAAACAAATTTAGGAAACAAAAATGTTTCCATAAAGGGAAACGTTATTAATACTCCATATTTTATAACCTTACCTCCTTAATTATTAAAAGTTTACTAAATTTACTATATACCTATACCATAATAGATTTTTGAACCAATTAATAAAACTGACACTCCTATTTTTTCTTTCTTTTTAGGGAAAATAACTATTAAAGGTAATTAACTTTTGCGTTTGTACTCATTTGGTCTCTTTCCTTTTTTTTTGTATTCAATATACCATCGAACTTGTTGTTTGTGTTCACCATAACCCTTTTGACCGGCTTTTGACATGTGATAGCCGGTCAAAGGGTTATGGTGAACACAAAGAACAAGTTCAATGGTATATTGAGTACAAAAAAAAAGGAAAGTGACTAAATGAGAACGAACTCAACAGTTGGTTATCCTCATGAGTCATTTTCCCCGAAAAGTTAAATGAAATTAAAGTTGCAAAATTATCAAAGATTGCAACCTTCTTTGACTATAACGTATATGAAGAGCGTTTCAAAGGGGTAACCTTGTTAAAACATGGTCTACGTTATGCTTACTGTGGTTAGCTGTCAACACGTCTCTGCAAAAGGATACGACTGTGTATGAGAGATATATTTATCAGTATAAATGTTTACCTCAAGGTATATTATGGTGTCGTGTCTACAAAAGCAGCATGATATTATACATATTGATGTTGTATCTTATCCCATGAATTCGATTTTAAAGCTAAGTAAACTCAAAAATTACAACACTTGTGATTCCACTCGTTTGTAGACTTGTCTAGAATCCATGATACGATAAATCATTTGATTGGATATGTAAATGTAGTCATGAAATGCGTCTGTTTAATCAATATTTCCCTAATAAATATTCAAGTGCATTACAAACTTGTACATGTATGAATAATGTTCTTTCATGGGTTATGTTTTGAAGAGAAGCAAGAATGAATCTCATAAAGTCATTAATATCAGTAAGGGATGACATGGGATTTGCTGTAAATGAGTAAATAGAAAATGAATTAGGAGGGTAACCAACTGTTGTATTTTTTCTCATTTGGTCCCTTTCATTTTTTGTGTACTCAATATACCATCGAACTTGTTGTTTGTGTTCACCATAACCCTTTGACAGGCTGTCACAGGTCAAAAGCTGGTCAAAAGGGTTATGATGAACGCAAACAACAAGTTCGATGGTATATTGAATACAAAAAAAAGAAAATGGACCAAATGAGTACAAACACAAAAGTTAATTACCCTCAAGAGTCATTTTCCCTTCTTTTTACCAGCAACTTCCTTTTTTTTTTTTCTTCAAAATTTAAGACTAATCATTGACCATAAAAATGCAAATGCACGGGTGTGTATTGCTCACAACTTTTTTTTATTGACCTTTATAAAACTTATTTGTGGCTTCTATTTTTTTTTTGTTTTTTTATATGTTTATAATTTACCCACCTGTTTTATATATATATATATATATATATATATATATATATATATATATATATATATATATATATATATATATATATATATATATATATATATATATATATATATATATATATATAATATTCAACTTGTGGTATTTATAACTTTTTTTCTCGTTCTAAACTTAAGCCTGAAGTAATAAAACTTTAAAATAACAATCTATATTTTTAAAAGTATAATATTTTATACCCTTATATTTATATCTTTTATAGTTTCTATATATATTCATCTATTTTAACAAAAAAAATCAATTTTTTTTTATCAAAACACTATTTAATATAATTTATTTATTTATTATTTTTTAAAAAAAAGTATCAATTTTTATGATATATTTTAATAGATTAATGGTGTGTCGTGTTTTAACTTTTTTTTTAAAAAAAATTGAACACAAATATTTACGCATATTTTATAAAAATAGCGCTAATAAATTATCTATAGAATAAATGAAATAAATATTATTTTAGTAAATAGATTTATGAATAATAATTATTTACATATTAAATAAAACTATTAGTCGACGTGTGGAGCTCTTCTAAAGCCATCACTGTCGTAGATAGAAGGAGAGAAAGAGACGCATCTTCAATCGACGTATGAAGATCAACGGAAATCGCTAAAAGCCGCCATGAAACATCGCCGGAAACGCATGGAACTCGCCGAAATTTGCCTAACTTTTTTTCTTGGAGGTTACATCCTTTTTTGCTAAGGTTAAGAGAACGTAAATAATTTATACCTATAGTTTTACATTAACAACCTATCTATTTTTAAGATATGATATTTTATACCCTTATATATATATATATATATATATATATATATATATATATATATATATATATATATATATATATATATATATATATATATATTGATTTAATTTAAATAATAAACATCAATTTTTTTATCAAAAAATTATTTAACTTAATTTATGTATTTTTTTTTTCACAAAAACACTAATTTTAATAACAGTTTTTTAATAGATTACACAAATAAAATAAATAATCTTTTTATTTGCCGTCAATAACCATTTATGAAATAATTTATAATAGTTTTTTTATTTATCAATTTTTTAAATAATTTTTAAAGAAAACTATTATAAACTATTTATTAAAATATTATTTAATAGTTTTAAAAAAAAACCATAAATTAAACGTTATAGAAAACTATTACTTACATATCTTTTTATATTATTTGTGTACCGTAAAAATTAATCGTTTTAGTTTTCAATAATCATAGAATATTACAATAGTCTTTTTAATAACATATTTATGGAATAAATAAAATAAATAAATATTTTAGTAAATAGATTTATAAATATTAATTATTATATATTAAAAACTATTAATTATAAATATGTTAGTAAAAAATATAATCATAATCTAATTATTAAAAATAATATTAATTAGTAAAAAGAATGTCATCATAATCTAATTATTATAAAATAATTATTAAGGGGTAGTGATGGGGTTGACTAATAAGACACCCTATTTTACCATTTAGACAACCATAATTAATGTTTGAAATATTTTTATTGGTTGAAATTGCATTGTTTTCCGAAAAAAATATTACAAAAAGTTGATTATAGGTTGACTTTTTATAAAAATGATTATAGAGTGTTTAAGGAGTATCTTCTTAGCATCACCCGGTAGTGATTAGTATAACGGGGATATGAATAAATGATGCCTTCCATAAAATAGATCATTATTATTTTGTTATGATAAAAAATAAAAAAAATGATAATTTTACTAAGAAACTAGAAACGAAAAGAACCAATTAACGGAATTCTATTTGGTTTAGGTTTAGGAAACGTATGACATAGAAACTTTGCGTGCACACTACGACCCCGGCGCATTTTAGCCTTTCTGCCTTCTCCCAAAACCTATTTCTATCGAACTCGAACAACCCTTTCTCTTTCACCAAAGCCTTTTGCTCTCCAAATCTCCTGCAAAAATTCGAATCTCTTCACACTTTCTTATTCGGTAACACTGTTTTCCTTCTTGATTTTTCCGTAGTCAAGCATTAATTTTGTTCAATGATCTTAAGGTGTGCGTAATCCTGGATTCTGAATCGAATCACTCCGATTTTAGCTATCGACTTTGATTTAGTCTGAAAAATCGATCACCAAATACGACCAACGATTCCAATTCGAATTTGTGTTTTGTGTTGCTCTAATCACTGATTTTGTTTTTCAATTAGGTTGCTGGATTCGTCTCGCCAGAAGAGTAATCATGGTATGTTCTTCTGTTCTTGTTGATTTCTTTTTGTGTTTACTACTCTATAATTCTTGTTGTGTTTACTACTTCATTGTGTTTTTTTCTTTCTGATTTTGTCGAATGGAGATTGTATTATTAATCACTAATGTAACTTCATTACATTTTTATTCATGCAGTATTTTGATTATGGATATCATGGGACATCCTTTGAACAGACATATCGCTGTTACCCTGCATCTTTCATTGACAAGGTTAGGAAGCTTTATTAATAATTATTAGTTCTCTTTTTCACTTAATTTGATAAACTATATATATCAAATGTTTCTTTTTGACTTAATGAATAAAGAACTATGCTATTAAGTCATAACATGTAGGAAAAAAGTAGTGTAAAGTCATGTTTGATAACAATCTATATGATTTTTAACCCTTTGATCTTTTTCTTCTCACAGGCTCACATAGAAAATGGTGACAAAAGTGAGTGGATTCTTTTTGTATTTTAATATTTTTTTTATTTTGCCTTTTAGCGAAAATACTAATATTTTTATTGTTTCTTTTCCAGTTATAATGCCTCCTTCTGCTCTTGATCGCCTTGGTTAGTTTATAAATATTAGATTTTTCTTTATATAATTATATCAAATTTGCTTTAATAAAATATTGATGGCTTTTAATCTTTTATATTTACATTTTACAGCTTCCCTTCACATCGATTATCCAATGCTGTTTGAGCTACACAATGTTGCTACTGAGAGAGTCTCACATTGTGGTGTTTTGGAGTTCATCGCAGAAGAAGGCTTAATATATATGCCTTATTGGGTATGAATTTCTTAAATCCATTCTATTTTTTATTTTATTATTATTATTTTTTTCAACAATTAGAACATACCTTAATTCTCGACTCATTTCTTCATGTAGATGATGGAAAATTTGCTTTTACAAGAAGGGGATCTCGTGAGAGTAAAGAATACGACCCTTCCAAAGGGTACATATGTAAAATTGCAACCACACACATCCGACTTTCTCAACATTTCCAACCCAAAAGCAATGTAAGTCAACCGCACGATTTATTCAAGACAGATTCCAATTCCGATTTCCGTTCCTCGAAATTACGAAAATGCCCCTAATATTTTTTTTTTTGTTTTCGATTTACAGATTAGAGACGACGCTTAGGAACTTCTCGTGTTTAACAACAGGAGATAGCATTATGGTGGCATATAACAATAAGAAATATTACATTGATATTGTTGAATCAAAGCCTTCTAATGCAATCACCATTATTGAAACTGATTGTGAGGTTGACTTTGCTCCTCCTCTTGATTACAAGGAGCCACAAAGGCTCCCTCTCTCATCATCATCATCCACCCAAGGTATAACTTTCATAGGATAAGTTGTAGAAAATAGCAATGTACTTTACTTTTTATTTATTTATTTATTAATATAGTAAATAATTTTTATTTATTTATTTATTTATCCTTGCAGATGAAGAAAGTCTACCAGAGGAACCAAAGTTCAACCCGTTTACAGGATCGGGGAGAAGGTTGGATGGGAAGGCTTTGACATACCAACCGCCGCCTGTTTCCACCACCTCCAAAGGGAAACAACCGGCGGTTTCCGGCGGAAGACCTACCGCCGCTTCTAGCTCCCGCCAGACTCAGGGAAAACTCGTGTTTGGTTCTAATTCTAATGCTGCTGCCCCTCAAAAGCGAAAGGTGTTTTTTTTTTTTTTTGTTAAATGTTTAGCAATGATAAGAATGTAGTTGTATTTTGTTACCAATATGGTAATATTAGTATTTATATTTTTATTTTTGGTAAATAAATGTAAGTATTTTGGTCATAACGCCATTTTTTTTTGTGATGTGTAGGAAGCTGCTAAAGAGAAGAAAGTGGAAGAACCCACAAAGGAAGAAGCCAAGTTTCAAGCTTTTACTGGAAGAAAATATTCGCTAAAGGGTTAACTATCAAGAGTCAAGAGAACCATAACTATGTTTATTAATTTCCCTCAAGTCTTTGATGACTTTTAACTTGTAAAGTAACTTAACTTTAAACGAAAACTTAAAGATTAGTCAAATTTACCATTTAAAACATTGAGGTTTTGCTGTGTTGCGTTGATTTTTTTTTAAAGGATTCAACCTTAAATAGGGGTTCTATGTATGATCATTTTTGGGTTTACAAGATCACACAAAAAACATAATTTTAACTTATTAGTTCGAAACATGACAAGTATTTCGTATATTCAGATTTCTGTTTAAAACCTATAAAACCTTTTAAATATCAGTCACAATAAAAAAAAAACAAACTTATAAAGAGTAAAAGTCATAACGTGGTAAATTTAACTTTTTTTTTTAAACTTTTTTCAAAATAAAAAAGTTAAAACAACATAGATAAAAGTTTCGGGTCAAGAAAGCAAATCATCATATGCAGCATCTTTATGTTTTTGGTTACACAATCCATACAAATACTAACGCACGATGATATTTTTCAATATTATTTTGTATCCAACTTCTTTTGGTTTTGCTTTTTTTGACACAAAAATAATAAAAAATGTGATGGATCTATCGCTGTCAGTTAGACTACAACCATTTGAGCTGAAATGGCTTTCAATGCTTCTTTGATGTACGGATACTTATACGAAAACCCTAATTCTTTCGCTCTAATAGGCAACACATGTCAAACAAAAACCCTTTTATAATTTATAATAACATATCTTAAATCATTTATAATTTATAATCATAAACTAAGCACATGTCAATAATATTAAAATAATGTAATAAATAAATAGATATGGAAATTGGAATGTAAGAAATAGCAATGTACATTCATATATTTGTGTGTCATGTGTCGAGACATTATACTTTGGAAAATTTACCTGATAATAGCATTGAAAATTGCTTTATATTAATTGACATTGTTTTAATTGAAAATTCATTTGCATGCAAAGTTGAATTTTCCAGAATGAATCGGATACTATGATTTTCTTTTAACAGTAACTATTACCTTCTTACACGGAAAAATGGACTGAACTTTAGATCTAGATCGAGTCAAGACACAGATATTATGGTTATCTGCAGTCCAAAGTTAATTAAGATTAGTTAAATTTCTGTTATGATAAAACATAGACAAAAAAGTTATAATTTAAAGCACATAACTCTAAAGATTCTCACATCAATACTCTGAAGTTGTAAACAACATATCAAAGTTGATACATGGTTATAAGAGCAATAAGAAAAATCCAGAAATTTATGAACCTATTAAGGCCTTGTCTCTTTTTTTCCATTAAGTGTTGTTTTTTTTCGATTAAGTGTTGTCTGGATAAATTATTTGTTAAGCTCACCGATATAGATCCTAGCTCAAACTTTCCTTCTTCTTCTTCTTCTTCTTCCTTCAAGAGCTTCCAAGACTACCAAACATGAGGACAAGAGCACCAAAGAGGTTTAGGGTTAGAGTTGTTGGGTTTGAGAGTGACGGAGGCTGAAGGTGGGCAACCCTAGTCTCCCCACTTTCCTTTAAATACCCGAAAGTTAGGGTTTTGCCACCAGACCACCACCACTTCGTGGTAACATGCTGCCACGCCGTGGTGGCCTAATGAAACATGCGATCTCAACCTGATTCACCACGTGGTGGTGGTTCTTCACCACGTCGTGGCAACCCTAAGCATAAAAAAGTAGAGTAAATTATTGAAATCATCCTTATGGTTTGATCAAAATTACATGTTTGGTCCCTAATTTTATGTATGTAAGGGACGAAAAATGCAAAAAAATTAAACCACGGGGATGATTCGAGTGCAAAAACAAAGTTAGGAACCAAACGTACAAATTTTAACCAAAACATAAGGACAATTTCAATAATTTACTCAAAAAAATATGATTGCCAAGTACCTCAAAATCCGGATGTTACAAATTTTAATGAGTTTTGCCACCTCCAAACTTCTATATGTCTCCAAATTTGCAATGCAGTTGCTGTGGCAGGCTACCTTAACACGACACTAGTCATTCTAAATTTTCATTTCCATAGCATTTGGAGAGATCCCAGGTTTCTAAACCTGATCTTTTACTAATTATTGTAACTGCTTAATGTTATATATACATATATTTGAAAGTATCTATGTGTTTTTTTGTTGTATTGCAGTAAGTTTAGTGACGTATATGATGAAGAATTTTTTGTTATAACATTGGAAAATGATGCACGAATAGTTGAAATTGTACTTGGATACCTAATGGAAAGGTTTGATCGGAATTTGACCAATGTTTTCAACTACATAATAAAGGCTTGGGCACCTGTTCAGTACTACAGGGACATAGTTCTTCCAAGGCTTCTAGAAGAAAAGTAAGTTTTATTTATTTATTATTATTTTGTTTTTGTTACGTTATTATTTATCATCTAATCATATTTTAATGTATTAAATGGCCATGTTCATAAGGATTTTACCATTTGCAAACCGCTTATCATTTGATGCACCTCCTGATGTTCAACGCCTTCGATGTTTGGCAAATTATGAAGCTTTAAATTTTTCAATCCCTTTATTGACAATGGGTCAAACTTCACTTTCAAGAATGAAATAACACAGTGAAATCAATGGTGGAAAGTGTATTTCTTTACATCTATGCTTTGAGGAGGTGTGTACTCTTTATCTTTTTATCTAGGTTGCAGAAAATGCTCGACGGTGAACTAGGGTCAAAGGATTAATCAGCTAGGCGGGGATTAATCGGGGACCATTAATTATTAAAAAATTAATAAATATAACATTAATCCTAATAATATAAGTAAACAACTTAACAAATATATTAGTTTTTTTTTTTTTTTTTTTTTTTTTTTTTTTTTTTTTTGAAACGGCAAATCTAACCTACTCCTAAACTACACCTTAAATCCACCTATGTCCACCACAGGACTTGAACCCTCAACCTCAAGTAGGGGGGGGGGGCAACACCGGATACCGCTGGACTACAAACCCTTTGGTAAATATATTAGTTCATTGATGATTTGGATTAAACAACCATATCAACCAAAAATTACAAATGTTCTTCATTTGTTCTTCATCAATTCTTCAAAATCATGTTTTCACAACAAGTTCATTCAAGCCACCAAATTGAGAGCTGCAACAACCTTAAACCACCACCTCCTTTCTACCCCTAATAAGAATAGCCAAACACCACCATCTGCTGCATCCGTTTTTGCTCCAACCACCAAACACCACCATTGATAACCTTCTTGTTTGCATCTGTTTAGCACCATCACACCCATAGCTACTCCACCACTGTCGCACCATAAGCAACCAAAATCACTGAAAATTTTCTTAAGCATTTACACAAACACTTGGCATGCTAGTTATCAAACAACCACATCAACCACATCAACCACATCACTAAAAAGAAAACGAATCAGATTACTCAATTGGAGTTGTGTATCGCAAGGCTATAATCAAAATACACATGCAACAACAAAGATATTTATGCAATAAGTTCAAAAAGAAATTGGTACCAGAATTGACAAGAGAAACTAGAGAGAGGATAGAGAAGAACGATGAGTGTGGATAAGCTTAATCCTCTGTGAAGCCGATGAAGGAGTGGCAGAAGGACCAATCGATGCAGACCTATCTAATCCAAAATCGAATTCTGTAAACAATCGACACTCCCGACTATCTGCAATTGAGTATATGGCACTGAAACAACTTGTTGGTAGATGACTAATGCTAAGAACCTTCAATAGATCAATCGATACACACTTCCGACTATCTGAAATTGAGAATCAAATTATGTAAACAACTTGTTGGTAGATGATCGGTGTAGAGAGAAACGAACCCGGAAGTCTGGAGAAGCTCGAGGAATAGCACCATTGAAACAACCTGTTGGTAGATGATATGTAACACCCAGTTTTAGGTTTACCTTGTTGCTTGGGGCTACGGCCCAATCATCGGTTTTCATGGGGTTTAGGGCTTCGGGAAAGGAAGGATTCAGCCCATTTTGGATGTAGTTGCCACGATTTAAGTGATCCATGTATTCGATTGTGTCTTCGGAAGCCAAAGGTATGACTGTAAATTGATATCTCGGTCTTTTATGGGTTTTGGATTTAAGTTCAGTTGGTTTTCAGGCTATATAAAGTTGATAGAAGTGTAGGGCTTCTTGTTACCTTTACGTGGATATAAAGAACGTTAAAGTCGAAGTTATAATGAAGAAGTTATGGCCATTTGAAGATATAAGGGTTTGGGCCGAACCGGGTACGCGGGGCGTATGAGATATGTACGCATGACGTACTTGAGTGTTATGGAAGCGGGTGCATATGGGAACGCCCTGCATTCGCCTAGGCAGACTAAACCCTATTTTTCGGGTCTTGAACCCTATTTAAACACCTTAACTCATCTCCAAACCTCGTTTCCTTTAGCCTCCATCCTATCTAACCCTAAGAACGAAACCCTAAGCCTATTGCATGCATTTTGAGCTTACCTTGAGAATTTTGGTGTTATTTGGGTGATTTTGAAGAAGAAGGTGTTTAGACAAGTAGCAAGGGATTGAAGAGAGCTTGTAGATCCAGAGGTTTTACATCATTTCCAACCTATTGAAGGTATAAAGTTCTCATATTGGTGCTTCTACATCATAGATCTAGGTTCTCATGGATATTGTCCCTTTTTGGTCCCATAGTTGAGATCTTGTAGTTGTGATCATTGATGAGGCTTTAAGTTTCTCCTCTTGGCGCTTTGGAGGGTGTAGATTCATAAAGTTTGCATCTTTAGAATTGTGTAAGCCCCATGCATGAGATTAAGCCCTCTTATGAGAGTTGAATGCTATATTGTGAATTTGGAACCTTTTGGGCATGCAAAGTCACAAAGTTAGCGACTTTATGGTCCTACAGGCTCTTTAGGACTCGAATCCATGTTTTGGTCGAGTGGCTTTAAGCATTAAGTGCTTAATAAGCCTTTTTGGAATCAACATGCGAACGCGCCACGTAAGGTCGAGGAACGCCCTACATTTAGATTTGGGTACACGATCTAAGTCGGTGGCGAACACCCAATGCTCCACCAGGGAACGCCGTGCGTTCAGGGCATCAGGGGGACTTCAAACCTTTTGCCTTGGACTTGGTTTTTGGGGTTTGGGCTTTCTATTTTGGTCCATTTTCT